ATCGGGGTTGGGTTTTCGTCGCTTGGCAACGACATTGTAAAACAAGCCAAATCACTTCGTGAACTCGGCAACCTGGTTACCGTTTTTTTTTATTTGCTTCTGTTTTTTTTTTTTGGCGGTAACCATAATGGTGGTCGAGTAGATCATGTTGTGCGGGGTGAAGAAGCCTCACTCCGCGCAAGGGGGATGATCGCACCACATTGTGTTTAAATGGTCAAGCACCCTCGAGGCAGTTACACAGTGCTGACAACTGTCTGTGGAAGTGAAGCACCAAAGAATATATATTATACGCAGCTGTCATCCGTATGCAAGGAAGTATGCACAAGATGCCGAACACCCTTAGCAGGATGCAGCGCACCCTTCATGCGACTCGCCGAATATCTCACGGCGCTTCGCGCTTGGTGATGTGAGAGCCTGGTCCGGTGAGAACCCGGCGTGCTCCGTCCCGGCTTTGTAGGGATGCGAGGTCAACGGTCTAACGACTACGGCATGCACGACTATGAGTACACCCCCCACCCGCCCTCACGCCTGTACGCGGCGCTGGCAGGAGAGGCGCAGGCTGCGGGATGAGGCCCAAACCGACGTGTACCCGTTGCTGCCCCTGTACTCCAAGCACGAGCTGGAGGCGGTCTTCCAGCCGGTCGTGCGGCGGATGAACGACAGGTTGGTGCTGCTGTGGACATCTTACCATGTTTTATTTAGAGGCGTTGTCGGGGAGTTTTTTGTCCACTGAACCTTGTGTCGGTTTCGGAAGCCAGGAGCCGGAAATTTTCTGCGCGCACATGAATGACCCTTTGTGACGTTGGTGTGGTATGCGGTAGTGGTCCATGTACTGGACAAGGCCACCTGGTGCCGAGGCGTTTGGCCGGCGTTGCCCCGGCCAGCACTAATGAGGGTGCGAGACAGCTTGCATCTGTGTCACGCGATCGTCCTTGCTGGCCTTGTGCAGAGACCACTACCGTATTGTATATAACGGTTTGCCGTGTTTGTCGCTACACCATCGACGAGGACGGATCACATCATTTTCGCTCTTCCTTTCTTGCGACTGTTTGCGACGTCGTCGCATGGCTGAAAGCAGCCGTTTTGTTATTTTCGTCCTCCGCCATCTGGGTTTTTGAGTGTTTCCGGGTTAAATTGATACAACTCTCTTTTGACCTGTGACCACTGCTGTCCATCTTGAAACCGTCCAGGATCGATTCGTCCGCGAGGGGCTGGGCGTTGTCGGAACAGTTGCACGCGCAGCACATGGATTCCGCTAAATCGGATGCTGAGGTAAGACGGACGGACAGCAGTGTCGCTGCTGTATTAAATAAATGTTCGGTATGTTTTCGAGTGCGGGCAGCCCGCATTTTTCTCGAAACGGAGGGCTTATAACGAGACGCTGCTGGTAGTCCTCTGCTGCTGCTTGTGCTCCTGCGGCTGCGCTTTGAGCGTGTCTGTCTCGAATTCTGTGGAAGCAAGCTGGTTTATCTTCTTCCGATTCTTGTTCCCCGCTGACCAACCCTGAGGTTTGCTGCCGCCTTCTCCATGCACACCCTGTGGATATCGTTGTGGAATCTTCCCTTGCATGCTTTCACTGGAGGTTTAATCTGAACCTCTCCGTGGTCTTCGCCGATTGCATGGTACATTACATTCATGCATGCCTCAATTTGTGCGTCTTCGTACGCACGAGGCCGCTCAGGCGTTCATCACTGCCCTGCTCGAAAGCAGTTCGTATGCTGCTGGCATTCCATTTTGATGGCGTGGTACGGCAGTTTGCATACATGCATAACCTCGATGCATCTTTGTACGCAAGACACCGCTCCGACGTCCATCACTTCTCTGCTGCCATCTCCTCACACACCATCCGCACTCTGATTGGTCGCTACGTTACCTGGCTTCCCGTATGGGGAATGACCCCGCCTTGCCGGCAAAAACGAAACAAGCAGGCGGTATGGCAGTCTCTCTACGAGCGCAACGAGCGTATGAAGCTACAGCGCGAGAACGCCGACATGGGCGCCAACGCCCAGCGCAACCAGGAGGAGGCCAAGCGGCTGAGGCTGCGGCTGGGCGAGGAGAGGAAGAAGGTCCAGGACGCGGAGGGAAATGCTCGGTGCGTGGTGGGGGGTAGGAAACGAAGGGCGGGCGTTGTTAGGTTGGTTTGCGCCGTAGCAGGCCGAAACGAGAAAAGTGTTCCATGACCCGGAGGGCGGAGGGAAACGCGCGGTGCGTATGTAGCGGGGGCGCGGGGGAAGCATGTGCGAAGGAACGTTATTTGTGGTGTTGGCTTTGCATACGTCTGCAGCAAGTCGATTTATTTCTTGGCGTGCTGCCGCAACCGAGAAATTCGGCGGCGTGTGTTTTCGGCCTGGGTGTTTTCGACGTTGAACCGTCCTGCTCATAGTTTGCTCCGCATCACTTTTGTGAGGGCTTGGTTCCTGGTCTTATCCAGGATGTACTGGGATGACCAAATAAAAACGAAAATGAACTTGCCTTCCGTAGTTGGTGGGTCGGTGAACCGGTGAACCCGTGACTCACGAGCAGGTCGTAAGCTCTGATGCCCCGCCGTTCGGGATGACACACGTGCGATCGTTCCACCCCCTCACTGCTGTATTCTGGCCGAAAAATACCGCACTGTTTGCCGTTTACGTCTTTCCCGTCTTGCTTCTTGCCGAGAAAAGCGAAGCGACGGCGGCGGCAGCGCAGGCCAGGCTCGCCGCCACGACGGCGAATCAGCGCATGAGACAGGCGGTTGGTGCCCGGGAGCGCGAAGCGGCGGCTCGCGAGCAGGAGAGGCGAGAGGAGGAAGCTAAGAGGGCGGAAGAGGTATCTTGTGTATACAGCAGCACTGCGAAATGTCATGAATAGCATCGTATGCAGCAACGTCGTAGGTGTTGGTTGCGAGTTGGTCGTGTCGAATTGAAGAGGTCCACGCCGCCGGCTCCGAAGAACGCGAAACCGGTAAGGTCGTGTTGATGATCAAATTTGTGCGGTGACCGGGCATTAAGGCTGTTTTTTTTTCCTCTCGGCATCTTGTTCGCTCATCAACACCCCCAAACGGCGTTGCCCTCCAGTCTACAGCGGGTTTGCCATACGCTGAACGAGGCTCCTTTGAAACAAGAAGACTGCTCGCACTCTTGCCTTACCGTGCACGAAAAAAGATAATACACCCCGTTGACCGATTTCCAAAGCTCGATTGCAACACGACCAAAGAGGGTGCATAAACGAAACGGTACGTTTTTCAGAGAGCTCTTGACCAGACGGCTTCAATGCCGCCGTTTTCGGCGCTGCGACTCTTTCTGCTGTTGGCAAATCGAGGTCTGACAATCGGTCCACGGGGTGTGTTATCTTGTATCGTATGCGGTAATCACCCCTTATATTTGTCTTGACACTTTTTTTTTTTAGTGGAGGCTCGCCACCTTAGCCTTGTGGTGTCGGGACCATTGCAAATCCCCACGACAAAACAAAGGCTGTACAGTAGCTGGTTTATTGTTTGTTAGGATAAGTGTCGTGCCCGCCGCTGAGCCCAATTTCATAGGCTTTTTTTTTAAACATGTGAGTTATTTTAGGCTCCCTGCGCACTGGTGCAGGATCGAGATACCGTTACCGCAGTAGAAGTCGAAACAAGTGGTACTTGATGGTCGACGAACAAGGTATTGTATGCATGCGCCTTGGAAACTGCCTGTATATATTATGTATATGTCAGTCTATGAGGGTAGGAGTTCTCTTTGCTCGCCTGCATGACACGAGAAAAGCCTGGACTGGATAGCTAGACCGTGTGCCTGAAAGTGGGTACACCGAAGGCTGGGCTAAGGAAACCGGAAAGCCTTGATAGGTACTTTGACTGAACGCCTCAACAGCAGGTCCCTTTGGAGGGAGACGGTCTTTTTTCACATCGTGAGGTCAATAGCTCGAGGTCTCTCTGCAAATCATCAGCTCTCGAAAGCTTCGCCCCCTCCGAACGAAGTGTTGTTGTTGTCGTCTTGACATAAATAGACCGTTCCAATCTCTCTGCCTGAGTACCTTCTGTCCGTAGCGTGAACGTCAGAAGAAAAGATCGATAGATCAAGAAATGTTATCTCAGGATGTTAGTGTTTCAGTGAATCGCAACCTCCCATTCGTACCGTGTGACCGATTGCCTCGGCTGAACGGTCATGACCTTCAAGGCCGGAAGTTGCTAAAACAGAAGAACCGAGAGGCCGTCGCACGGAATTGCTTTTTTTTGGGTGGGTACCCGTACCACTGTTGTATGCATACCATACGACGATAACCAGTCGTGCCCACCCATAGGTCTCAACTGCTGTTGTACCATGCCATGTGGCATCAACCAGAGGTGCCGCCCTTGACCGCCCTGCCCGTTCCACTCAAATGACACCCCCGCCGTATCCCTCCTAAGGTCCGCCCGTGATGTGCAACTGCCCAAACGAAACGATTGACCTGTGCATTACACAGCTGCACCTGCCCAAACAAAAACGATTACCTGTGCATCAAACCGCGCGTGTGCATTAAACAGCGCGAGAGAGCTGCCGCAGAAGTTGCGAGGGTGACGAACGAGGCCGCGGCGAGGGAGGCTAGGCTGGCGGCAGAGGCGGCGGAGGCTAGGCAAGCGGAGCAGGCGGCGGCGGCAGCGGCAGCCGCGGCAACGGCGGCGGCGGCTGCCGGGGCAAAGAAGGGGGAGGTGGAGGAAGAGGATGATGGTGATGATGGTGATGAAGGGTTCCAGGATGCCATGGATGTGGAGGAAGAGGTGAAGGAGAGGCCGAAGAGAGGGAGGAAAATAGCCGCCAAGGTTGAGCTTCAGGAGGAGGAGGAGGAGGAACAAAGCCCCAAGAAGAACTGTGAGATTGGCTTGTAGTCGTATGTGTCGTCGAGAAGCTGTTTAACGCTGGTGGAAATAAACGAATGCTCGCTTTCACGGTGAACGCTCCCGCATCCATTTTTTGTTGTTGCCCGCTTTCCCCCGGCATGTTGGCTTCAATCTAAAGTTGCATTTTTTTTGCAAAGGATATCCTCGAGTAGCCACGACGTACTCAATGGACGAATATGTGTTGATGACGTACGTGTGCTGCTTGTGAGCCGGCTGGAACAATCTCCGCATCGTATTTTGACGGGGCATGTCTTCATTCACTGTGTACCCATGTAGTTCTCCCCCCTCGACTCTGGAGGTTTTCTTGGTTGCCGTTTGGAGGGGTTGGTTCGGTGTACTCGCCTTTGCTCTTGGTCTCTTGAGACACGAACAGCGGCACACCATGTCAGTGTGTTGGCACGTTTCCGCAGAGGCTCTCTCACTATCGCTTTCATGATGTGATTCCTGTTTACCCTCGCTTGGCGAAGGTTGGAGGACATGTTCTTGCTGGAGAGCAGAACGGCTTGGGAACTGTGGGCTCGCGATTTCACGGCAGCACCACTAAGTGGAGAGCAGAAGCCTGTGTAGGGGGGGGGGGGGGGGGGGGGGGGGGGGGGGGGGGGGGGGGGGGGGGGGGGGGGGGGGGGGGGGGGTAGGAGGGGTACTACGCTACTGCGCTTTGATGTTCCGAGACCCTGCCGTGTCCAAAACCTGCTCAGGTTTCCTCGAGATTTCCCCCCCAACAGCGTCCTCTCTCTGTTTTCTCCGTCATGTCCGTGACCACTGTTTGCCGTGCTGCTTGGTTCTGCTTGGGGGTTGGCCTTGCTCGGCACTGTGTCGCCTTTGGCGCGGCTCGGATGGCGTGGAATCAATGGCAATGGCATGATTCGGACACTACGTGCAATCATCAGCGAGGGCTTCGTCTAGGCGCAAGACCATGATGACACCCATTGGCAAGGTGAGCGACCAGATAGGCATGCTTTTGTGTTTGGCCTGCCCGTGCCGGTGTACGCACACTACCGCGGACTTGTACAGTATGCAGCAAGAAAATGAGGCGATTTCGTTATCCAGATGAAGGGCAGTTCTAGGCTGTAGACTGTAGACCGCTAGACACGGATACAGGAAAGGCCGGAGTAGTTGCGTCTTTGGGCCCGCTGCTGTGCTGGAGTGGTGTGCAGAAGCGCTCACGATATGATTTTTGTCAAGCGTCATCACGTATGCCAAAGTCTCTGGAAGTCTGGTGGTGTGCTGGTGCTGCTCGCCGTTGTCTTTTGGGCATTTCGACAATGAGAAAACGTAACTACGGAGATTACCACTGCCTACTGCTTTTGCTAGTGCTACAGCTACTGACGATCCGTGATGCCCGTGTCCGTGCGATAGAATACGGTCGGATTTGATCTCCTATGTTTTGTGGTCTCTTTTTTTGGCGGCAAAGCAGATAAAAGACAGGCAGGATGCGAAGGTGAGCCGGAGCCAAACCCAACAAAGCCATTGCTGCTGGGCCGCCTACCGCCTCTTGAAGTTGTCACTCAATCTTTCCTTCGCTATCAGCGCTACCTACATGCTCTCGTCCACCGCTTGCTATTACTCCTGGTATTATTTAGTGTCTCCTTGATTGCCTCCCGTACGACGGTGGGCTGTGTTTTGAGTCCCTTCCTACCGCAGAGTTCCTTTGAGATTCGCGTGCTGGGGGGGGGGCTCGTCACGCAAAGAAAGCAACTGCGAAGGCAGTGAAAGAGCAGTCTGTTTGGCGTAGTTGGTGGTTTTTTGTTGTTCGACCTGTTTGGCATGCCTAGAAAGCGGTTACAAGGCAACGGGTGTGAGCGAAGTAGTAAAGCTGTTGTTTCGGAATATGTCAATCACCATTCCTCGTTTGAGAGGGGGTTAGGTGGTGCTATTAGACCTATTGGACCGTCCCCCATTTCCGTGTGTTGTGCCTCCAGAGTCGGCAACCAATTGATACGCAGTACGCGTTTTGCGCAATATCAGTATTCACAGGCTAAGGCCCATGGGCTATCTATTGCTGACAGATTTGTTTCTCCTCATTTATCATGATCCGAGCCTGTGTTACGCGGATGGCAGCATGAACAAAAAGTTTATCTTGGAACAGGGCATGCGGCTCTAATTACGATTACCAAACATCAACAGCAGTGACCAGTGTTAAACATGTTGAGGCTCAAAGGCGTATGTTCCATTGCTTGTCGTCGTACAACTCGCCGTGCTGTGGTGTAGACTGGCAAAGGCCTCCCCGCGAAAGAGGAAGCGGAGGAGCAGGAGCAGCAGGGGGAGGAGGAGGAACAGGTTCCCAAGAAGAAGGGTAAGACGGACGTACGACATTTTTTAGTGTTGATTCAGTGGGAATGACCGAGTGTTTGGTTTCACGGTGAACGCTCTCGCAACAAATTTTGTTGTTCCTTGTTTCCCCCAGCATGTTTGGCCTCAATCAATCAGCAAATAGCTCCATTTTTGTTTTGCGAAGGGTAAGGGTATCCCCGAATGACAATTACGTACACAGCCGACGAAAGTGTGTTTGATGACGTGCGTGTGCTGCTTGTGAGCCGGCTCGAACAGTCGGACAAATGGCTCATAGCATGAAGGGACATTTCTTCGATATTTTGTAGTTTAAGTTTCTCGCGCCTCGACTCTGGAAGTTTTCCGAGATCCTGCCGCGTCCAAAACGTACCCGTGCTTTCCTCTAAATTGTACCCCAAACGTACCCCTTTTTTATTTTTGCCCCGTCATGTCCGTAACCACCCCTGTTCTGGTGGCGTGGAATCAATGTCGATGGCGTGACGCTAATCACCAGCGAGAACTTCGTCTAGGCGCAAGACCATTCTGACACCCATCGGCAGGGTGAGCGCGCAGATTGGCATGCTTTTTTGGTCTGCCCGTGCCCCGCAGTAGCGAAGCTTTTGTCTCTCGGCCTACCGCTGCGCAGGAGTGATGTCCAGAAGCTCTCACACTGTGGTTGTTGTCAAGCATCATCACGCGTGCGGCCCTGTGGTATGTACTGTTGGTCACCGTCGCCTTTGAGCCTTTCGGTAATCAGACAGAATTACCACAAGTACGGAGACTACCACGACGCTGTCCACGGTTATTGCTGTTGCTGGTTCTGCTGCTGCAGCTACGGTGACCACCCGTAATGCCTGCGTCCTGGCGATGGAACACGGTCACATTTGATTGGTTTCATGTTTTTTGTTTTGTTTTTTGTCTTTTCGTAGGACCCGGCGACTATGAAGGCGGCTAGGGAGGAGGCGGCAAGGCAGATCAAAGACAGGCAGGATGCCAAGGTGAGCCGGAGCCAAAGTTAACACAGGCACTTCTGCTGGACCGCCTGCCCTCTCTGGACCACCCATCGTCTCTTGAGGTTAACGCTAAAGTCTTGTCTTCGCTGAAACCCATTTCTGCTGGACCGCCTACCGTCTCTTGTGGTCATCACTCCATCTTGATCTTCGCTGTCAGCGCTACCTACATGCCCTCGATTCCACCGATTGCCAACATTACACGTCTCTGTGAGGCTGCTCACGTTCGGCGGTGGCCTATTTCATGGATACCGCCGAATTGTTGTTAGATGCACGTGCCAGGGGGTGAGCTCGTCACTCAAACGAAAGCAACTGACAAGACTCTTATTAGAGCAATCAGTTTTGGCGTAGCTGTTTCACGTGCTTGATGCATCTAGAAAGCTGTTGCACGGCAAAGGTTATGAAAGAAGTGGAAAGTCCGATGTTGGAATCTCAGTCACCATTCCTCAGATCACCTCATCCCTTACATATCCTGAGAGAGAGGGCTTGCCCGACCGAACGTTTGAGATAAGGGGGTGCTAGTGCTATTGGAACGTCGCCTTTCCGTTTTTTTTGCCTCCAGAGTCGGCAACCAGTTGAAACGCAGTAAGCGTTTTGCGCAACATCAGCACTCAAAGGTTATGGCCCGTGGGCTATCGGCTCACCTACGACAATATCCAGCGTTGTCGACACGTTTTTCGCCCTCATTCCCCTGGTCCATCAAGATCCGAGCCTGCCTGTTCTCCGCGGATGGTGGCAGGAAATATTACTAGGAAGAGTTGACGCGGCTTTCATGACCACTGTCTAACAACATCCGCAACAAGCGATAAAGATGTAAAGGCTCCAAGGCATAATGTCCCGTTGCTTGTTCTACAACTCATGTCGTGTCGTGTTGTGGTGTAGACCGGCAAAGGCACTCCAGCGAAAGTGGAAGAGGAGAAGGAGGAAGAGGAAGAGGACAGCGGTATGACGGAAAGGGAGAAGTCTCGCCAGAGAGCGGCGCAATGGGCCAAGGATGAGAAGGCGAGAAAGGCTCTGGAGGCAAAGAAAAAAAAGGCGGCGGCTGCTAAGGGCGAATCAGCAGCACCGACACCGAAGAAGCGCGGAAGGCGCTGAAATGTCGTGAGAGAAAATACACACCCTGGGTAGGTGTCGCGGCAATTCTGACAGTAACAGCTGACACTAGCGGCAGCCGCACGGCAGCTGTCCGGCCAAAGGCGAGATCGTGCTTCCGCCACCTGTGGACACCATCATGCCGAAAAAGTTGTTTGCCGGCTGAGTTGTAATAGTGGGGAACGAAGTGGACGCTGAAGAACACTGTTGGCTGCTCCACTGCTGCTGCTTGAGGCTGAACAACCGACGATTCAGGTTGATTGCTGTAGGTTAACAACACAGACAGACAGAAATGTGTGTTTGTGCTGGTGTAGTACGCCCGGCGAAAGGAATCGGTTTGGACCAGTCTATTAAAGTCACCGCCACGGGCGCGAAATATGATGCTGGGAGGGCTGCAGACGCGGACAGGATGGCAGGGGAGGGCGGGTTCAAAACTGAAGCGGCAACGACTACGTCGATGATAAGGACCAATTTTGGCACCGTGCAGAAGCAGAATGATGAGCTTCACGCGTAGGACAGCAGTGTCCGAGCAGTGTCCGATCGACCGATGTGTTGGGCAGAGGAGAAAAGAGGGCCAGGACGCTGAGGGGGGCGGTATTTGCTCACGAACAGTGAGCGCTGTAGTATTGTAGTAGAGAGGAGTTGTAAATGACTTCACGTACGCTCTTGTTTTTTTTTTTAAGTGGATTTATGGGGAGCGGATTGCGGGGTTTGATGAGATACGCCCATGAATGAGGCAATCAGTCCAATCAACCGCTTGCACGAAGTTCGGGACCAATAATGCGATTCATCGTCGAGATTTTGAGATTAGGTTCTCCAAATAAGAAAGTAAGCGAGCCTCCACCTGATTGTTTTAGGCGTAGGCAGTCAGAGCAAGTTAAAACACGCTGTGCCTGCTTGTTGCAACATGCAGTGGTAGCCGGGGCGGACGCTTGAAGATGAAACTCATACCCGTCGCCGTGATTTTGTGTGTGTTCCTTCGCGATGTGTGCACACAGGTGACATTTTGGAGCATTGTTTTCCATAGGGCATATGGATGTGAAAAGATCATGTTGCTAACGTGTGGCACGAATTTGAAGACGTACAGTAGAGTAGCTCAGGGGGAAATGTTTCAGAGCATTGGACTGGGTTTCGCACCAAGTGATGTTGAGGAGGACCCCGCTCGTTTGGCGTGGAAGTCGGTGCTCATGTGCGAACCCGGCAGATGGGTTGCATCGGGGCACGGCAAGCACGGCGTGCGTGAAAAGATTTTGATGGGAATGTTGCGAGCTTGATTTTTCTTGCGGAGCACTCTTGTCATTGTTCACTCGATGTTGAACGCGATTCGGGCACATGAGCTCGTCGTGAAGAACAAAAACGTTGTGAACAGCTTCGGTATGTTGCCAGACACGCTCGTTTGCAGAACCCAAACGAAGTGCGTTCAGCAAACTATTCAAGAAGCAATCATTTGGACTCATCGTCTTCCTGCCGACAGATGCACACGAGAGACGACGCATGAGCTACTCGAGAGCCATTTCTGGTCTGTGACATGCACCATATCCCACAACAGACATGTCCTCCCTGGGAGAAAAAAACAGAGCTTCAGTTGAGGCCGGGGCTACCCCCAGGTGATCATCAAACGTGAGTAATTTCTCCTCCGCGACACAACTGTACATCAGAAGGCCGTCGGGTAGGAAGAACTTGAGTCTTTGCCGCCCCCGTTCTTGTCCTAGGCGAACAATGCACCACAATGGCGTCCCCACAAAGAGGAGAGCAAGCCGTACCTATTGGGAAGCGCACCCTGGGGCTAAGACTACTGCTGCTGCTCCTTCCCTATCCCCGCGCAAAAAAAGCTAATAGTCAGTCTGCTTCGCAATGGAAGGCCGATTCAAGGGCGATGACAATCAGAACGAAAACAAATAGTAAGACATTTCTACCGGGGCATCCACTCGTGAAGCCTGCAACACTGGTGGTGTTTATCTCATCGCCTGGAGACACGTATATTGGGACGTTCGAGGTATTCAGGGAGATATGTATATGTCTAACACAACGATATTACTGTACAAGTTACACCCGGCATCAAAAGCAGCAGCAGTGCCTAACTATGCAACAAATCCCTGGGTTCCTCTCGTCGGACTAACATTCCATGACTCGAGTTCCAACTGCGCGCCCCCAAAACGTTATTTTTAGACTATGCGCGAAAACAAACGAACAACTACACCAACACCACTGCCACTGCCACCACCATCTCCAACCACCACAATTGCCGCCACCACGATCCCTCCACCTCAACCATCAACCTGCTGTCGAACGTTTTTGTCCATGGCTTGAACCAACAACCGCGAAGCACAGAAGAACCGTCAAGCGACAAGATGCGAGTACTGCTGTAAGTAACAATTTCCGTTCTAGACCTCCAGAATGAAGTGCACACAGAACATGATGTCAAAGGAACCCGACATGACGCGCCGACGAAACGCCACCACCGCAGTTGCATCGATAACAAAACACTGCAGGCCATGTTGGTCAGGCACCGATTGCCACCTGGGGTGGGAAGGTTGCACGCCCAAGCATGCAGGGAATCTCCCGTCTCGGATAGTGGCGTTAACCCAACTCGCACGGCGAACTGACAGCCTAAACAAACAACGTGTTCAAGGTCGATCAATCCCGCCCCCCCAAAATCTTCCCACCCCAACTTTCACAGGTAGATTGTGATCGGTGCCCAACTTCTGGCCACCAGGGGAGCGGCGGGTCGAAATGCCCTGCCTGGTCATGCAGCCATTTCCACTACTTTCCACAAATCGCAATGCCAGGAGTTCCACCAGCGGTATGCATATGTATATCTGAATAAGATCTGTATCTACTGCAATCCGTGTTGGCGTTTCGTGGAAAACCGGCCGGAGGGAAACGGTTTCGAATACATTCCTTGTGCCTCTAGAATCTGCTATCTAATGAAGGTCCATCGCACCGGTGCCGATCCCGGNGGGGGGGGGGGGGGGGGGGGGGGGGGGGGGGGGGGGGGGGGGGGGGGGGGGGGGGGGGGGGGGGGGGGGGGAGGGGGGCGTGCTCATGTTCTGCATGCCTCAACGGTTCGACCAGTACCACGCGTCCTCGGTGTCCACAAGCACGCCTCAATCACACCGCCTTTTCGGCCTCTTTGCCGGCCTGGCGGCTGACGCTGCACCCGCCGTGTTCGTGAGCAACGACAATTGACCCCTGGGTGCTGCACCTGATCCCTGCTAATAATTTTGTGTTTGACGTATGTGCGCAGAGAGAGCAAACACGGAACGTCAGGACGGTAGCGAGGCACCGCTGTTGTCACGTGATGACTGGCGTTGGGAACTTCGGCAGAAGATCGATATTTAATACCGCCGCGAGCATGTCAAAAGGAGGCATGATGATGCCGGTAGACCTACTTACCTGGGACGTACCCCCTCCGCAACCGGCGTCTTCTTGCACTTTTTCTGTGGTCTGGGGGTTGGGAACGGCCGGGGCTGCTGCTTGACCCACCACCTTCTTACCGCCCTCCGCAGGAGTCGCTGCCTGCCCGTGTAGCCCTTGCTCCTCCTTCTCTTCCTTTTTCTCCTCCTTCTCTTCCTCCTCCTCCTCCTCCTCCTCCTCCTCCTCCTCCAACTCTTCCTCCTCCTGTTCATCCGGCGGAACATAGGCCTCTCCCGCATTATCATCATCCTCGAGCGTGCCGAGAAGCACACGAGCGAGCGGCAGGGGCGTGGCGCGCGCTTCCAGCCAATGCACGGCTTCCTCCACGTCCCTCGACTCGAAAGTCATGGCGCGCCGGTACTCCACGAGGGTGCCGGCAACCCACATGAGCTCACGCGACGTGTGCATAATCGTTAACCACCGGGCCGCAGCCCCCGCCGATGGCGCTTTGTCCAGCACGGCTTTTGCCATGCCCCGCGCCACCTCCCGTTCCCGTGTAAGGAACTCCTGGAGATCGTTCATGTGTGACTTGACGAACAGCTGAAACCGAGAAACGTCGGGGGGGAGCGCGGGCGTGAGTGAGGTAAAATGACACATACATACACTCTTCGAATGAAAGAGATCGCGCATTCTATTTACCGGGGACTTGAAGTCCCTGCAGGGCGAAGGAGGCGGCAGGAACAGCGGTAGACGTAACGTTGCCGCATTTTTGTCCCTGTATCTCTCTCTCTCTCTCTCTCTCTCTCTCTCTCTCTCTCTCTCTCTCTCTCCC